GCACTTGGTATTTTTGACTTTCCAAAACGTTTGCTTCACTCACAGTGCTTGAAAGAACAAACACACACAACATTGATACTTATTCTGCAATATGGCAATAGTCTTGCTTCTTAATGTCTAAAAATACTCATGCAAATGTATCACAATTTATTGGCTAATGATTACATTTTAAATTAATTCCTCATATGAGACACTGATCATGCTTTCCCACCATCCTTCTGTCAAAATACAAATCTTACAGGCAAAGGTGAACAGCAGCTTTGGGCTGTGAGTCAGCTCCATGGAGTTCATTTCCACAGGAAAACAAAACTGTCTTAAAGCAGAAACTGAAATATAGTTGCTATGAAGCAATAAATCTACTGCACCTCTGTGAATTGTAAATCACAGGCAACATGTAGTTTAGAACTGCTTCTAATTAATGGCTTCTTCTGTACTGAAGGAATTTGGTTTTTAAGAGTGCTCATTAAACATTTTAGATTCCCTTCTTAAAGAACTCTCCTTTGTGAGTCAATAACCACAACCTTTGAGTAACCCAGGGCAATACTGCTGAGGCTGGTTCCCCTCGAGTGCCCATGAAGAACAGTTTGCACATGAAATACAGAAGCAAAGCAATAAGCAGGATAGTAAATACCCATATCCTCGTCCTGCTGATATGCAGCCAACTATCCGCTGTAGCACAGGAAGACCCTTCAGTAATGAAAACACGGCCTTGCTCAGGTGTCTCCAGTGTACCTGCAGTCATGGGTACAACCCACGGGCCCTCTGCTGCTGCAGACCCTGGGGCTTGACTGTGCCCAAGCCAGCTTTGGGTAGGATTGGACGGAGGTTGTGTCTCAACATGCCACAATGAAATGCTCACATGATCAGAGCTCTGGACTTCAAATTAGAGGGAAAAACAGCAGCATTAACTAAATAGCTATATATCTACTATAAAGTATATCTATATATATACTAATATATATATCTATACTAATATATATATCTATAATATATATATACTAATAAAGTATATCTACTGGTTTCTGCAAGAAGCTGTGACACTGAGAAGTCAACCAAAACCAATGGATAAAAGAACACAGAGAGGTGAAAACAGAGGTGGACACACAAAATCAAATCCTGCCTTTAATGCACATAATTCCTGCTGAAGTTTATGGGACATGAGGACAGGGCAGTGAGATGAAACTTGATCTACTGATGTTGGCTCTGTACCACTTCAAATAAATGAATCACGGCATCAATTATTAATAAATTGATATATACTTTATTATGCACAAGAGACTAAGATGACATGACACTGTGGTTATCAAAACTGTACAACTGTGCATTTCCACAAGTCTCTGAAATACTGAATGTAATATGAAATACAAATGGGGTGTTCAGACTGGCCACAGGTATTAGCAAGTAAATTTCTCCCATTCTTTGATTTAAAAAAGCATCTGACATTTGCATCTTAAAGAAATATATTTATTTTTTCAAAGGTGAGAATATTGTGTTTGGAACCGGTAGGAACATGGCAGCAAAGATGTGATAACACTATGAACATCCCTACGAATGACAAACAACAACAGGGCAAACAGTCACCTCACACGAAGGGCTGTCAGCACAACCAACAGTACAGTCTTCTTGTGAAGCATGAGGTAGATATACATAACAGAAAGAACAAACAGGAGAGGAAGGGTTAGAAAAGGGCAGGGGGAAGGTTACAATCATCAGCATTTACAGAATTTTGCAAAATCCATTTCCATGTGGAGTATGCCACAAACACAGCCTAACACAGAAAGATCTGACCTCTTGAGACATAAATATAGTAATGTCCAAAACCAAATGCTGTAAAAGGTTAGAGTTAGTGATTAGACAACACATGACAGAAGAAACAGTCTACTTTGGAGTTTAAGTACATTACTAATAGCTTTTACAGGCAGAAGGTGTCCCTTTTTAAGCCCAGTCCTCCCATTCTTACATAAAAAGTTCCTTTGCACTTGATTCCACCATGCTGAAATTAACCCCTGACTCCATCCCTCCAAAATCCTGCTGTACCACCCTCCGTTGGGCCAGCAGCATCTCACCGGCCTCCCATACCCCACAGGGATCTGCTACGTGAGTCCAGCATGGCAAGACTACGTTGGACAGAGGTGGGAATCAGTGGCTGAGCAGTTACCATTCGGGACCTTGCCACACCACACACAGAAACTCTCAGCAGAGACAAATGGCTGCTATAAAAATACAGCTATCAGTGTATCAGTACTCTGAACTGAGGGCAGCTTAACAGCTGCTGCAAAGTACTATACATTTCTGTAATAAAGCTATTAACTGGGAATGCCCAGGTTTGGTTGTCTCTCTCTTTAGTGAAGCAGAAATAGCTGTTCCATCTGCTAAGTAATCATTTTGGTAACCTCCAATAGACAATTAATTCAAGCAGATTAAAATTTCTGAATTCAATAGCTGAGTACACCAAGTTCAGTTAATTTAAATTGTATTTCACATATCAGTCAACATATCAAATCTTTGACCTTTATATATTTTTGGTTTATCCAATGGTAAATATAACTCTGTAAATTATTTTAACATTACGGTTTTAAAGAGATTGATAATGCAGCATGTTTCTCTCAAAAATATATAATTATCTATTTTACAGAGAAGTTTTCAACCTGTCTGTCCCAACAACCAAATCTAATATTTCCTATCAGAAACTGCTTAATAAAATATCTGAGGAAGGAAAGGGTTAAAACAGGGGAAAAAGAGTTTACAAAATATGTAAATTTCACAGTAATTGAAATTAAACATTTCATATAGAGTAACTTACATTTATCTAAAACATTTAAATATATCTTTATACAGAAATTTAATGTAGTAAAATATAGCTATGATTGAACTTAAAGACTCTAGTCTTCTTTGAAGACATCTTTAAAGACTTTACACATAGAATATGCTTATACAATACATTCTGCTGAAGGTTAGGCAAAGCGCTTTCTTTTCAACCACACAGGTAGCACATTCATCCTCCCGACACCTCGTAACAGAGCCAATCCTGCAAACCCCTACGCATGGCAGAGCTACGCCCACGTGGCAATCTGTCCATGTGACCAGGACTTCTCACTGACCTGCTAACATAAAGCATTTTTGCATGTGTAACTCTGTGCACCAACTACATGCTGAGTCCAGCATGTGCTTCTAAACAGCAAGGATGAGGCGTGCAGTTACTCACATGTGTAAGTGTTTGCAGGATTAGTAACAGATTTGATTTAAAGTGAGCAATATTCTGCCTTATCCTGGGCACTTAACGTCTATCACATCTCTTGCACTTCAACCATCCTGGCATCAGCAAGGCACAAGTGTAGAATAAGCAAGAGACCTGCAGCTCAGACTTCAGAGCAGACTATCACTTGAGTGTAATCAACTCCCTTCCTCTCTTGCAGAACACAGGTAACTTTCACTAAAACTAATGAAAGTTTTTACTCTCATTTTTAGAGGAAAACAATGCTTTTTTTTCCTCAAAGGAGAAGAATCAGTAGAACACATTACAATTAAAAAGTGGCAACCAACAGTCAAATAATTACACATTGAAAGTGTCTTTTTTTTTTTCATTTAGCATCAATTTGAAGCTCAAGATAAGGCAAGGACACTAGAAAATACTGTGACAATTAGTACCTTTCTGTCATTTCCATACTCCAAAACTACTTTGGGACTATCCAACTCCATTGTTCTTACAACAGTTTGATACAAACAACTGCACAACCATCTTCAGAGAACAGGCAGTATTCTGCACAAACAACATGTTCTACTGTATATTCTTTGTGCTCTCAAACCCATCTCTTATTTCAAAGGGCTAGCTAAAGGATTAGAACCAAATCAACTTCTTTATCTCCTCTATCATCTATAAACTGAAGAGACAGTTTTTTTTCATATATATATATATATATACATAAACATTTTATATTTTATGTGTGAAAGGGACGCTGAGCTAATTGCTAATTGTTTAAGTGGTAAGTTAGGCTCTGTATACCTAGGTATACATCTACTTGCATAAAGACACTGTCATTAAAGATACACACACATCTATGTTAGTGCACAAGACAATTCTTTGTCTTAATGTTTGTGTGTGCCTGTATTTGGTATAGCAGATTAAAAAAAATCTCTTACTAAAGAGCTTTGGCCCAAAAAACAAGAGAGGGAATGTTAGAGTGTGCTCTTTTCCGATTAGCAAATCAATGCATATTACAACAAAAATACCTGGAACAAACTTGAAGCTACAAACACAACAGGAAAGCAAATGAGATGCTGTAGCTGTAAGCTGAACAAAACAAAGATTACTCAAAAGTGGCTAAATGTAGCTGAAATAATAAAATGTTATTAACCAAAGAGATCTGACCTTGAGGCTTTCTTGCTTAGACAAACAGAAATCCTTTGACCCAAGATCATCTCTGTTCTCTGTATCTTGTGTAGTGACAGGACAAGGGGTAATGGCTTTAAACTGAAAGAGGGCAGGTTTAGATTGGATATTAGAAAAGAACCTCCTTTCTGTGAGGGTGGTAAGGCACTGAACAAGCTGCCCAGAGAAGCTGTGGCTGCTCCATCCCTGGAAGTGTTTAAAGCCACACTGGACACCGCCTGAGCAACCTGGTCTAGTGGAAGGTGTCCCTGCCCACAGCAGGGGGTTTGTAGCTAGATGATCTTTAAGGTCCCTTCCAACCCAAACCATTCTATGATTCTATGATTAAATTCCCTTAATGAATACTTTGTGTCAATGAGAAGGTTCAGGGAAAGAAAAAAAACCGTACAAAGCAGCATTTTTCCAAACTGGCATAGATTTCACATTGAGGGGCCCGCAGACCCCTAGAACAGGTTGCAGTACTGTAAAATTAGTAGCTTTGTCACATGTAGCATAACATGCTAACAAGAGCCAACAGGCTGTGTTCACTCATGCATTGTGTGCTCATATACACACTCAGACACACAGTGGCTTCCCCAAAAGAAAATCCGTCCTTTTTTTTTTTTTTTTCCTCCTGTAGAAAAATCCCTCCTCATTTTCTTCAGAAGCAACCAAAACAACCCTTTTAACTATAAAAAGCTGATGTCCACACACAGTCCTTGGAACCTGTGTGCTCCTATTCTGCTCCTCAGCTGTGTCCCCCCAGGTTAGGTGGCACTGCTGCTGGAGCAGGGGGTGCTCTGTGTGCTGCCAATGCTGTGAGCTGCACTGCTGTTCTCGGACGCTGGCGGGGACGTTGGGACCTGCTGTCTTCCTGCTGTTTCCCCTGAAGGAAAGGGAAGAGAAAAAGTGGGGTCAGGAGAAGGGAAATTGAAAATGTTAATTGTCATAGCAACAGCTATCAACTCCTTCCCAGTCTTCCTCTTTTGGTGGTCTGTATTTCCATGCAATTAATACATTGAGGGACAGACCTTTAAACAGAGTATTGCTGAAAATGCTACTAGACTTTGGTATCTTAACATTGCTATGCACATGGGGAAAACAACAGTGCTGTTTTGCACTTTAAAAGCAGCTGATGGAAACTGCCAAGATAGATGCTGTCTACCTTCTGCTGTCAGCTGTCACTCAATGGGTCCTGTTACAGACCACTTTATAGCTTTGCTGTCTCCAGAAAAAAGGCCTATGAAATGCAGGCTTTCATTTTAATGGCAGTTTATAGAGCAGCATATTTACTAAAAGTGGAACTGAAGACAATGTTCTTCAATCAGCTGGACACCACATATCCTGAGACACAGCCAGTTTTCCTCATGTAGAAAAACACCAGGCTATCCTTAAAGCTTGACCTAACATAATATGCAGGAAGTTTCCCTATAGCTACCACAGTATGTGCAGCACTTACGATGTGTAACAAGAACATGTCTCACCATTTCTTGTTAATTGTTTGCTGACAATAAATTAAAAGCCCTTCGTTATTTAGATTGCCAAAACAAGCACTAGGATTTAAAGGCAGATTTATGGCTCCTGATAAAACCTAGATTTCAGTCTGCTTTCCTCATACCCCTTCTGCACCTGTGACTGGGATTCCATGGGAAAAATTCAGCTCTCAACTAAGCCTGAAAGTAAAAATTGTGCCGTTATGTCAATGCCCAAAAGATCATAATGAGACCACATAGGAAATCAGAACTGTGGCATTTTTTAAGTTACAGTGCTCAAATCTGTAACCTTAGCAATATCACAAAATAGTCTCTTCAAAACAGATGGCAAGACTTAAGTTTATATAATGTGCACTGTAGCTACCCCCTCCCTTGAGCTCATCTCTCAGGATGTGAACCTGTGATCTCAGCACAGTAACACAGTCAGACTGCTGCTGTTTGAGCTGCAGACCTGCCGTGGCAGCCAGAAACAGCACGGCTGCTTTCCCAGCAAAGAAGCAAGACATAAATGTTTTCCCGGATCATGGGTAGGAGCAACTAGGAAAAATCAGAAGCCTCATCTCCTGCTTCATGAGTTTATATTGAAGCAGCTCTCCTGCTTCATATTATCCTGTGTTTTTCAAAACCTGAAGCCATGGGTTGGGTCTGCAGAGCCCAGTTTTTCTTCCATGTTCTGTATTTGTCAGAGATCCTATTCCGCAGTGATTGCTTCAGTGACAGGTTGGAGGCTGGAGGCACAGCCTGCATCCAGAGGGTTACAGTGCCGGGACGAGACAGCTTCCTCCCACAGGAGCTGCTCTGGCACATCCCCATGCCCTGCGTGCTGCTGCCCAGCTGCCAGAGCCCAAGCTCCTCGGAATGTGGCTGAGGAGGAAGTGGTGCCTTTAACGCTTTGTGGCTCAGACCACAAAATATCCTTCTGCAGGCTGCTCAGTACTCTGAGGTCTGCTACAAACAAGGGAGGTCTGAGGATTTCTCACAGCAGAGGTTGCAAGTGCTCTGTGTAATGGAAACCAGCAGGTTTGCTGCTAGCTGAAGCCACAGCTGAAGTGCACATAAGGCCCCAGAATGCACAGCTCTTTGTCTTACACCTCACTGGTTTAGGAATGGGGAGGAAAGAAGGGATGGGATGGGACAGGACAGAAAAAACAACAAACTAAACGACTAAACCACATCGCCCAGGAGCACAATGAAACTTTTTAAAAGAGGGTGAGGATCTTGCTTTTAAATTCAGCATTCAGTCCAGCATTTACTCTTGCGAGCAGAGTTTGATTCTCTTTTTCCCAGTATAACAAAAAACTATGTAGCTCATCCACGAGCAGTGAATTTCTGCTCATAAGCAGCAGGTCAGAATCTACCATCAGTCATCTGCAAATAAATCAAGTTTCAGTTCTAACTTGCTTTGGAAGTGGCTTTGCAACCCATCAGAATAAACTGTATCAAATCAAAGTCTGTGTCATAGTGCTGTAAAAGCTTTCATAAGCCTTGTTTGGATGTTTCTTCCCCTCCTGACTCGCTCCCTTCTTCAGTTGTTTGTGTACAAGTCTTCCTTCCTTTTGTACTACAGGATATATTTATAAAGGCAGTGACAAGCAAACTCCCTTTCATTAAAACAAAACAAGGGAACACAAACATCAGAAAGCAGCGAGGGGAGGCGGCAAACCCCCCTCCCCAGCCGCAGGAGAAGCCACTCGGGCGGTGCAGAGGAAGGGCGGCCGCTGCGCTCCCCCAGTAGGGCCCCTGGCCCTCGCCTCTCTCCCCACAGCTCTGCTGTCACCCATTTTACAAACCACATGGTTACACACAGCGTTGGTCAGCCTCAGCACGTCAACACAATCTGTATGCATTTAACCATAAATTCATTTATAAGCTAAACACACGTTGTTTTCATTTTACAGCAAAGTGAAAGCACAGCGCCGGAGTCCCTGCACAAGCCTACAATGGCTCTCACTCTCCCCTCCCGCCTCCTCTGGAAAGTGTCCTAGGAGGCACCTTCCCTTCTGTTTGGGTTGGAAGACTCCGTCCTTCCACTCTAATTCAATGGCCTGCACACTACCTCGTTTCCAGAGTACGGTCAGCAGCTCTGATATACCACAATATATCACAATCGCTTGTTGAACAATAACAATTCTCAATGTCCTCAAGGAAAAAAATCAATCCAAATCACAGTGATGTTATGAACACAGCCCAGCAACTACATCTGGACTGGCTGATTTTTCCTGTATTTTATTTCCTCAACACCTAGCTAACCGTAGAAAAGCTTTTTTTAAAAGAATATTCAAGAAAAGGATGTAAAGAAATGTAAACTATCACTAAAGAGGCATTCTCCATCTGTCTTTTTCATGTAAACAGCTTCATGTATCTCACGTTACCGAACCAGAACTGCTCAGAATGGACATGTTTCATCTATTGACAGTAAACAAGCTTTTACCCATCTGAATGCAACAACATGCACTTTATTATTCACACTTAGGAAAGCTGCCAGTTGTACTCCCTGTCCAGGAAGTCTGAATGTTTGCTTTTCTATCTCCATTTGCCAAATATAATTGGTTGCTATGTCAGTTTACTTTAAATCAGATTCCATAAAAAAAGGGAGAAGTGGGGGAGGAGGGACACTTTTAATTCTTGGATTTTAGAACAGTTTATCCTCTTAACTTGCAACACTGCCTGAAGGAGGAAAGCTCGTTTCCTAAGAGAACACAGGGACAGATGTTCTCTAGCACAGTTTAAAAGGTTTAACACTCTCATTAACTAATCAGACTTGGGCATGTGCCTTCCTAAAAATACTCAATTATCCCTATTAAGACAGATATTACATCGATACATATTCATATGGTTAAATTTTGAAGGGTTTCTGCATCCATGCACACTGCAAAAGTTTTGATCCTCTACAAGACTTTCAGATAAATGGGGTTAATGGTGGCAAATCTCTGCTATTTCCCTTTGCCCTTGGGTCTTCTCCAGGCAGGACCAACACCTTTCTCGTCCTTTAATTGACTAGGTGAAGGATCAAAAGCACAGAGTCCTTTTGCAGAGAAGTCAGCTAAAATTTCTCCTCTGCTGTTCTGATATTAGCTATCTCTCTCTCTTCTCTTACTACCTATCTTAGAACATTTGTACTCCACATTGAATTGTTTCAGAAAATCTAGAGTATTCTGAAGCACAGTTTTGATGCTTTAGCAGAAATTTTTCACAACTGAACCCAGCAAACTACCTACATGAAAAACACTCCACACAACAATCCTTGTTCAATATCTGGAGATTACCTTCTACCTATTGTGGAGTTCCCTTCTGCCATCACTTATTTGAGGGTTTAATGTTAATGGCCCATCAAGAGAACAAAGGAGCTCGTTCATGTAGCACTGTTACCAGCAGACATACTGATAAAAGTGTATTGGTAAATCTCCCTACCGGCAAAAAGGCGGCCTTTTGCTGCATTGCATACAGCACTTCAGCAACAAAAATACCTTACTTCACACATCCCAAGCTGCCATTCGCTACCAGCTGTAGCTTTTATCTGTGCTCTGAGTATCAGCAACATACAGTTTTAGAATGAACTCATATTTTCCAACCTTTGGTCTAAATCGCGTTAGAAACCCAGTACTACTTGCAACAAAAGATGAGATTTCAGAAAAAGATTCAGCAATACCTAAATTCTCTAATGGCAAAAGACAGCTACTCTGTAATGAAATTTAGATTATCTTTCCCCCTCCTCCTTGTGTTAATGGAAGTCTGCAGCCAGCTCTAAAATGTTTCCACTGCAGCTGGATTATCTTGTCTGCCACAGCAGTTGCCCTCTTAAGAGACTGTCCCTGCCAGAGCCTTGGCTGCACCGTGTTCCAAGTTGTGCTTTGTAGATACAAGATACTATGCACACAAAAATTATGTGCACAGGAACATAGGTTCACTCTCACAATCCTTTGAAAATCTGAACCAGACAACTTCCTGGATAATTTGTATAATTTCTATGATTCTCTAAATCTGATGAGTTACAGTGTCCCCCCGTCCTTTCTTCTATTTTCATTTATTACTTTTTGTCTGGTCTTTTTCTCCACTTATTTTCATCTCTCAAACACAAACCCAGAGCAGCTGCCCTCTCCACTGCTTGTATGCGGTCGCTATGACTGATGTACTTTGCTAATATAATTCTTTTAATGGGATCGGTCCAAGTTCTATTGTTGCCGTAAGATTTATCGTGCTGGATTCCCAATGTTCCTTGACTACAGACACACAATTTGCGTCTACAGATGGTTCTGTACATGAACAAAGATCAAGCAAATGCAAGAACAAATATAATAGAGGTGATTTAATTTTTTTGTTGTTAATAAGGGTTACCTATGGAAATTACCTTCTTAACTTACACATTTACTCACTGAAATTGTGCTTTCTTTTCTTCCACAATGTTTCAGTAGTATATGAGACAGAATTATACAATTTATACACATTATCACAAACTTTAAATTTTCCACATTTGCCTCAGTTCCAAACAAGTTTCATACACAGCTGATGCATTGAGAAGTATTAAACTGCTTATACAAAACTGTTGTACTGCCAACTGGGAAAAAACCCACAGTTTTTTTTTCCAAATTAACATAAGCTCCTGGGTCATAATATTTACAGGAGCTCTGACCCAAAAGGGCCAGACTCTCACTCCTAAATAGCTTCCATGAGGTTTTGGATTCCAAAAAAACCAACACCCTGTAGCGGGCTGCAGGCAAATTCCACTGCTCTAGAGCGGCACAGGTTTGGAGTAACTGACTTCTCATTTTGCCCACCTCCCAGAGATCTTGGTAGGGTCTTGTGAGGTCAAAAGTGGAAATAGTTGCGAGCAGAGCACGCTCTAGGAATCCTGAGATACTCCCTAATCCACAAGTAGCCAAGGCCACATGCTGGAAATCATGCTGGCTCCACCAGTGTCCAGTCTTTGTCTGCACCACCTTGCAGATGACATGCAACAGAAAGCTCCCAAAGCTCTCTCTTCTTCCAATACAATATTCTATTTCTGCTAACTTAGTTTAGTAAGAGAAAAAATTCTAAGGAAAATTATCTATGCATAAAGGCTGCACCAAATTCAGGCACATTGCTGGTTATTTGGTTGGACACAATTAAGTAAGATTACACATGACTTCTACAAATTGAATGTAATAGTTGAAGACTGGAGGAATAAATAATTGGGGCAAAAATTTCAGGTAATCAAGGCCCAAGAAAAATTTTCAAGTCTAGTTATATTCACAGTATGTCTATGGAAATAAAGCATTCTCCTAACCATTTGGCCCACTCCTTATACACATCAGCCTAATGAAGTAACTACAAAAAATTTTAAAAAAGCAGTATGGGAACCAAAAAGAATCCATTAACTGAAATGTTAACTAAATTTCAAATACAGAGATGCTACTAATGATAATGCACAAGCCAGGAACACTCAGAGTTTTACTTGTGTCCCAGGTGAGTTTTCAAGATTCGCATTTAAAATTATTTTAGTAAATTTTAAATCATAACGTCTAACATGTCCCTGTAGGGAAGAGCGGGTATCAGTTGGCTGATACACAGTACAGGTTCATGGGAGGAGCTGCTGGAAAGCTCCCCAGCAAGAGGAGAGGGCACAGAATAAAAAAGCCCAGGACAGCCATTGCTGGCTCCCCTCCCCTTCAGACCACACCACGTTTCCTGCCGCGTGACCTGCTCTGTGAGAGCCCCACACTCACCTGTGCGAGAGTAGATGAACCAGAGCGCTCCGGTCAGCAGGGCCCCGATCACAAAGGCTGCAAAGGCAATGCCCACCACAGTCAGCGTGTCCAGCCCGTAGAACACAGCTAAAGGTAAGCACACAGAACACAGGCACTTTTCATTATCAGTGGCAGACACTGCTTCACAAAAATACCCCCTTACACTGTCATGGGAGAGCTTTTCCAAAATTCATAGTTAATTAAGCACCATTTTAAGGAACAGACCAGCAAATTTGCGTCAAAGAAATAAACGCAAAGCTTTCAGAGAGTGGCTTCAGATCCACCAACTGTTCCACATCACAAAGCAAAACCCCAGCTCAGCATACCCAAATCTGGAAAGCGTTGCAAAAATTAACCATTTTCAGTTGGTTGTTAATAACTTGCTTTTAATTAAACACTCGTTTATCTTAAAAGAGTGTTTTAAAAAGGCTGATATTTCTGGCAGAAGATGCTTTTCACTTAAATGGTCTAACATTCTAGCAAACTTTCCCCTACATCTCCTGCAAGTTCAGTCTGAAATCTAGGTGGAGAACGGAACTGCTGTTAAGAGGAAAGAGATGCCAGCAAAAAGTCAGCGAAAACATAAATAGAAGCAATTGTTTTTCACATTTGGCAATGCTTTCAAAAACTAAAATTAATTCCAGAACACAAAAATAGAAACACATACACATGCAAACCACTTTCTAGGGGAGAGGCCCTTTTGTAGGACCATTTCAAGGGTAACAGTTCCTGGATGTATTGCCCCCTAATGCTAACCATCCAAACAGAAAATCTTTTGGCTTCTGTGTTTTTGTTTTTGGTAATCAGAAATACTTCAAAAAATAATAATCACTCTTTCAGCAATCATTTGGGAAAATTTCTTCTTACAAAACTGATTTCTAGTTGTAGTACATTTAATGTCTCCCAGTGCACAAAATGGTTCTGGACAGTGAATTTTACTGACTGCTCTGGCCAGGAAATGAGCCAATTGGATCTCAGTAGTATCCTTCAGCGGAATTTTCAGTTCTCAGAATACAACCAACACCCTCACTTTACACAATCCTGCACCCTGCAGATGTCCCTAAGGACATCTCCTATCCCTTTTTGACAAATGTTTTCTCCAGCAGTTCCTGTTGGCAAGGACCTTCAGGACCCATTTCTGGGTACCTGTGACCTAGTTTGCATATGCAATACCTGACACATAATGGCTTAGAAGGTTTTTCTCTCATTTCTTCCATGAGGTTATTTCTGGTTCTTTTGGCTACTTTCAGTCATTTTAAATGCAAACAGAAAAGACTCTCCTAAACACAACTGTTTTTTCCACTAGGCACCAGCCAGTGTCCTTTCCTCTTAGGAGGAAACTTAGTGGAGAGAAGCAAGTCCCATGGAGAAGTGGCAGAAGCATAATTTCTCATAGCCATTGCTATTTTGAGCAAATTTAGTCCTGAAGGCATAGGAACATGAACAGAGGAAAAAACCTTCTTTGCACTTCCTCTTCTAAATTCCCTTTTCTCCATTCATTCTTGCTTTTGGCTGCAAATCATCTGTACCTTCCTGTTTATCATTGCCTTCCAGTGCTGCTCCTTTTCTGGGTCATTAATAGACCCTGATTAATTCACTACACCAAGACCAAAGAAAAACCAAAGAAATGAATCCATATCAAGTCAGTGATCTCATCTCCAGCATGTAAGCGCCGGTGCCAGAGTAACTGGGGATGTGGCCAGCTGCAGCACGGGATATGAGCGAGGCCTGGAATGGGACACAGGTAGGACACAGAAGCTCTGTAGGATCTTTGCTGCTCAAACACAGGTATTGGGAAGCAGTGGCCTCATCAGAGAAGGGGGAAATAATGCACACCTATCAGCAAATGAACTTGCTAAGGCTGAGACTCTCAATGGTGTTTTCCCAAACTGATTATCACATATGTCAAAAGTCACAGCCCTTCTCTCTAAACGCTGATGGGAAGCTCTGACTCAGCCACCGAGTCAGAATTATGTTCTGTTTCAGAATTATATACGTACACACTCAGAAAGCTTGAGGATAATTTTAATTTATCTAATGCTTTCTAGACAAATATTTAAAGTTTAAAAGAGATTGGTTTAAAAGTTACTTACGTGGCTGTCTCACATTTGGCTTTGGAAGGGAAGGATCTAATTTAAAACAAAAAAACCAAAATTCACAAAACATTAGTCAGATACAGTTCTATATAGAGACTACAAACTATGCAGGTTCTGATCTAACAGCAAAATATTTATTAAAATTTACCTTATATTAAAATTTATTTTAATAATATTTTAATTTATTTATTAAAACATTTATTAAAATTTATTAACATTAACCGCAATTTTTACAAACTAGGAATTTCAGGAAAACTATACCAAATTCAGTAATCTCACCTATCTCAGAAAAATTCTATTCATATAACAATTATTCCTCAAGGGACCCTATCTACAGTATCATTCATATATCATATATTTTGCTGGCAAGTACAGTGCAACCTTTCCCAACTCAGATGTAACCAGGTCTGACCTACAGTAACTCTGGTTACCCCAATGTGAAGTTCTTACAAAGCACAGATTGCAAAGGCTGTTTTTAAGGTGATTACATTCATCTGACTACTCACTAGTCCCAAACAGGAGATACCAGCATGCTGCATCACAGGGACAACAACAAAAATCAAACAAAACAAAACAAACACTGGCCATCATCTCCAAAGAACAGTGATTTTATGGCATGATACACACGACTTTGTCCAAATTGCCCAATGACTATGCGCTGATTCACCCATTTTCCTGAGTCCTACTTGGTATTCTTGGAAGTTGTGTGGGTTTTTTGGTTTGGTTTTTTAATTATATATGAGGAAAGAAAGATCATAGCTATTGTAACAAAGCTATTATTCTTGGCAAGAACATCAAATATCATTATCAGCATATAACAGAAAGAGACAAGGAAACAAGTGTTGAAAAAATGAAGAATTTTCCCTTCTTTTGCTGAACTGGCTTCTCTTATCTTTCTCCAAGAATGCCACCTCAAGCAGAAGAGCTAGAGATTCTGGCTTCAGACCCAAGGACCTGTTTGGTTAGCTGCAGTTTGATACTGGATTGCCCAGTAACTCAGGGGTCTCATTTCAATTCCAGCATATCTGACTATGTTCAGTGCAACAGATGTAAAAGCATTTGATTCAATACTTGTTTTTATATCTTTAGAAACTGGAAAAAAAGATAGTTTAACTGTTATGCAACCATAGCAGCACAAAACCCCTTGAAAATAAATATATTTATTTATTTAAAGTGTTCTTAAACCAAGACTATGCTTCTAACTTCTAAAACCCAGATGGCAGCACTAAATTTGCAGCAATATCCTTTAGACCATTAGGCTCTGAGACATGTGAGACACGTGCCTACAAAATTTTAAACAGCATTTTATTCTTAAATTGTGTTATTGACTCTTGTTCTAACACAAGAGTATCTCTCGGCAGAGGAGAAGAAACAGGTGAAACAAGTAAGAAACAGGTGAGAACACAGAGGGGTGTGTGGGTGTGCATGCACAAATAAGCTGGAAAGTCAAACAAACATAACAGCAACAGTATAACTGAATGTAAAATTTGTGAGGAAGGCTGGACTGAAACCAAAGAGCAGTGAAAAGTACAAACATGGGTAAGGGCACTATCAGATTGTCCAAACACTCCACTTGCATATCCCAAGTGCCAAAAAAATTCCTTCTGAGCTGAGGGGAAAATGAATTTTCCATGCTCTTTCTATCACTGGCTTCTCTACAGAGAATATGAAATCTGCTAATGATAAACTGTGTAGCCTATTATCAATTCTCTTCAGTCATCCAGTTCTTACATGTACTTTATTGTGGTTTGCTCAGATCAATTCAGCAGGGAGAATTCTTGAACTCTACAAAAAATATCTAATTTAAAAACAAGAGCAACCAGCCTTTAGAACTATAGTAATTTTCTATATCTTTGTAGGATAGAGGCACTTGTTAGTTGCCCACTTGACCTCCTTTCTATGACCTGTCTTCTTTTGCAGTAGAAATACTCAAGTCTGAACCATGACAGTGGTAGATCATTCCAACAAAAGAACATGTAATTCCTATCATTTAAATGGCTATCCATATACCTTTCATTGAACTGGGGGAGAGTATGCATGTGAAATGCAGGAATGCCAAGGGAAAGAACGTGGCATGGAGTTAGGTTCGAGACACTTCCACTGGGATCTAGTGCAATAATATAACCAACAGTCTCGTAAATAACTAACAAAATTAGGAGGGAAGGAAGAGTTATTCTCATTTGGATTTACCATTATGATTTCTAGTACAGTCAATGACAGTTATAAACTTATGACTGAAGAAAACAAAAGACACTTTTGCAACAACCAGTTTGTTCTGAGTTTTGAAATGTCAAGTGCATAATTTCCACAAGTGGCTAGCTGAGCAGATCCAATGGCAGCACCTTACACAGTATGGTTTATAACAGTGAAAGTTGGTCTGTTCACATTATAGAAAATGAGGAACACCACCTCTGAGAAGTAAATTCTACTGTTCAGTAGGATGATACAATTTCTTTGAACCACAGGTTCATGTATTGGCCAACCTGGCATTTGGCTTTAAGAAAGGGGTTGCTTGATTCACTGCAGGACAACTGCACACCAACAAAGCTATGTTGTTAATGAGCCACTCTGTATTATGTCTAAAAGCTGCGATGTGCTGGGGAGATTTCCACCAAACATCCCACAATTAGAGTAAATCACCCACAATTAAATGAAATACTCTATCACACTGCTGTCTTGTAACTAATCTTTATAAATTTAGCTTGTCTTTGCACACTAAGACCTTGTGCCTCTGACAAAGACAACATTCTGAGTGGAGCCCGAGATGGGAGCTGTGCACAATGCTCCACACATCACAAGGGCATGAGAGCTGAGAGTACGACTCTGTTTATTGAAAGCTGAATTTCAGTTGCAGGATTTACTCTTTCCCAATAGAAAGCCCACTGAAATAAAATGAGAGTTGAGCAAAAATAAAGCACAGAAGCAGGCCCAAAGCACAGTTTTAAGTGACAGATCAAATACTCACCTTTAATTCATATTAGATTTGATTTGTATTAACAAATTTGTAAAAAAACTCTCAAAAACTAAATATGAGCTGACTTGCAGAGTTAGACAGAAGCAGTTGTTGCTTATGTCCCTTAGCAATGCTGTACTGTACTTTAAATTGTTGGAAGACTAAAAAGCATGCACTGTACAATGGAGGTTAAAGGACTTCTTTAAGACTTCTTTAAAAGATCTCCATCTTCTTGATGCTCCCCAAAAAGCATTCCAAAGGTCAAAAAGCCTTTGGACACTATTGGAACATTTTGATTCAGCCCCTCCAAATCCCACAATCAGTTACTAACCACACTCATTTTCTTTCAATAAAGATTACATAAAGAAGTACCACCGAAGTGGAGCACTTTTGTGTATCTCATCTTTTGCTCTTAATAGTTTAACTGTCTAATGAGTCTCCAGTGGCCACCTTTTTGCTTTACAAACTTATCAGGCTTTAGCATCCTCAATACTTTGTAATTCCACTATTGTTATTCCTAGATTTATATTTACAAGTGCAATAAATAAATGATAAAGTAGGGAGCAGAGCACTGCCTTTGATCTCTGGGCAACAAGGTTGCTGTAAGTGTTACTGCTGCATTCATAGTTCCAAACTCCATATTATTTTTGCAGTACAGCATTCCTTTCTCTATGCCAGGCAAAACCACATGTCCAGAGATCAATACAATTAGGAAACAGCAATGAACTGCCATGGTGACTGCTGCCAGGGGAATGTCTAAACTAGTAACATCTTACAGGCACAGATTCACCACAAGATTACACAATGCCACAGTACTTGGAGCACTCCCTCATTTCAAGCCACTGTATATTATACAATATAATAAATACAGCTGTATTAAACAGTTCAAGCTCATTTTCATACCTTCTTGTTTTCCTTCATGTGTTATTACAAGGGGCTTGGTGAAGGTTTTCTTGTTGTGCATCATGGCCAAGATCATATCCACATTGAGAGAGGTGCAAGCTTCATCAGGAGGAATGCACTGCCGGTGGAAAGAACGGTGTGTGAGGTCAGAGAGTCACCTGTTTGCCAAGAACCTCCAAACAACCCCCATGTAATGTACTGGCAAAGGTAATTAGCTGTATTTCAGGACGCAACCTCTGCCTTCGTTAAGGATTCTCTACCCTTTATGAGACTGTTGAACTTCAATGGTATTAATTATTTCATTTTAGGATATTGTTTTTTCTAAAAATCTGGTAGCCAAAACCGTAGCCACTAACATGTGTTGATGAACAATGACAAATTATCTTTAAAAAATACATTTTAAGTGAAATGTGCATAAACACCAAATTAAAATAAATTTAGAATTCTTAGAATACATTCTTTAACAATTAATTTATATACAATGTCATTAGTTATAAAGCAAAATTTTGCAATTCTCTTTGGTAGAAATCAGATTACAATATTATCTGATATGATGCATGTCTTTGGAAATTGAAGCTAACATTGTGCTTTGGATATGCATGTGATATGGACAGCAAAGATCAACCTGAACCACTTGTGTAATAAAAAGCAATTTCTATTTGTAACCACCCAATGAAATTTAAACAGAAACTGTAAATCATGTCATCAAAATGCATACTGTAATAACTCTCCTCTATTAAAATCCTGAGCCTAGAGATACCATGTTTATTACATCAATTCCATAGAAAACCATTTATTCACTTCAGAGGTCAGATGAGAAAAATACCTTATTTTCATCTAAATAACAAGATTTAACTTTATAAATTACTGACCTTTGGCAGTCCTTGAGTATCTTTGTCTTTATTTGTACACAAAGTCAACTCGCAGTGAAGAAAGAGCAGTGAGATGTTGAACATTGGTTTAAACACAAAGCTAAATCTTTTTTTGTTCCTCTGTACATGTGGTACTGGAAAGTTCACCTTCTCAATACTGTAGAATTTAACAGATTCATCTTTAGGACAAATGTTTTCTATAATGGTATAGTCAGACATTCTATCTGGATTTGAAAACGGGGAAACAAAGCATGTTTGAATGGCAAAGCCCAAGGATCTGTCAGCTTTAGTCACAGACACCTGCGTTAAAAAGAAAGAGACGGTAAGATCTCAGAAATGACATTTTTAGTTCACATTTCATTAATATTTTCAACAATTTTTAAAGCAGTTTTCCAGTGCCATTTCCAATCTGAACTATTTTGAAGGCTAAATGTTAAGAGTAGACTGTCAAACTGAGAGACAGAAAATCTGTGGTTTCAAAATCAGCAGCTGTTTCATAGCATAACCGTGCATAAATACAGCAACCCCTTATCTTCCTGAAAGCAGATGAAAAACCCAGCCCAGATGAGACACACAGTTAATGAGTGCAACTGCCACCTGAAATGGCATTGCTCCCCTCAGACACACACACTGTAACAGGGCTGGATGGAAGTCAGTCACTGATTCCATATCTTTGTATCTGTTTGAAACTATAATGAAAAAGGAAAAATAAAAAGCAACAGACACAGAGAACCCACTCCCAGCCATGCCAGGAATGCAAAGGCAGAGAGGAGGTCACGGTCTGATGTGTGGGTGGCATTCCTGGATGGGGGGGGGGGGTTGAGGGAGCCTCCTAAAAGCCGTAATTTCTAGTGAAAGAATCCTTTTAGTTTATTGCAAGTTTGAAATTCATATTCTTTTTTGAAAAATAATTAAGACTGCAAACTTCGGAGGCCCTGATGTTGCTCAGCTGGACTGGAATGCAGACAACAAATGCTACAGAATAATTAGAAGAAAAAAAAATGGAATTTGTAGTAAATGAGCCATGTTGCTCTTAACAAACAACAGAGGCATTGTTTCTAACCATTAACACTGCCCAATGAAACAGTTCCACAAGAAATAATTTTTTTCTCAGAAGAAATGTGCCTTATCTGTGTACTTAATCCACATGTGCCTCATGTATCTTTAAGGAAGAGCCTGCCAAACTCTGTGGTTTGTGCAGTAATTTTTGAATGCTATGAGTTTTGCAGTGAATAAAGGCATTTCTCATTTTTTCTCTCCCTTGTGTGAGCAGCAATCAAACTAGAGATGAAGGGACATGCAAGGGATTTTCTAAGCAAGAAAGACCATCTTCCAAGAAGAACAGAAATAAAGATGGATAAACAAAAGTCAGCCACTAATATTGACAGGAAACAAGCTGCTGGTGTGAACTAGTTTAAAAAGAGATTATGGGAAGGAGGACAGGCATACTACAGTTCATTAAATAAAAGAGTGAATGATATCTCAAGGAAAGAAAAGAATTACAGGAGGAAGGTGAAAAGATGACAGCAGAGAAGAGAAAAAAAAAAACTCAAAATATTCAAACACAAAAAAATCTTTAGCAGAGAAGGAAAAGGGAGATCCAGAGTTCTTACTGATTATGACCTTTATGATCTATTTATCAACCCCTCAAATATATTTGTTAACAAAAAATGCAAAATAGAAACAAAACCGCAAAAACAAATTATCTGCGTCCGTTAAAAAATGGAGTTAAAGAAGTTCAAAACTGATACTTTTTTCAATGCAGAAGAAGGAAAAACAGGGAAAAAAAAAGGCTTCTGCCAGGACAGGTGATGAAGAAATCAGAACATCTGTCTGAATAAACAGCTACAGAACCAGACAAATCCAGAGGGCTCAGAGCCAGGGGGATTCATCTCAGAGCGCTGAAAGAAGCAGACGGTTTTATCCAAATGAAAAAAAAAAAAAAAAGAAGTGTCTTTTATAAACATATTCTTAACTGAGTATGACATACTTTCTTTTTGCTTCAACTATCCTAAATTCTTTTCACTGGGTAGAGAACAAGGAAGAGACACAACACACTGAAATCATGAAGAAAATTGCATCAATGTCAGACAGGTCACTGTGCTTATCATGTGCAACATGGACTCACAAAGAGGAACTACCTTGGGCAAGAGAAATAAGCACAGAACTACTTCAATAAATATACTCTTTTTCGTGGTCTTATAAGCCCATAGCTCATACCTTGTAATTTATTCAGCTATGAACTGGAGATACTTCTATATTGCCAAAGTTGTATTTATTAATGCCTACTATTATTTGAAAAATCCAAAATACACATGGCTATATTTAGAAATACTGACTGTATTGGTTTGAAATTCCCGAGATTTCATAAGCAGCTCAATAACACATGGAAATATTGTCATGATGCAAAACACACCTGAAGTCAAGGGTACCCTGCTGTTGATTTTGCTTTATTCTTACTTATCTAAATCTGGTAGATCTCTTGTGTGGCAGCATTCAGAAGGGTTGTAACTCATGTTTTTAAATGAACTGGAAAGAGATCAGAATCTGTACTAATGGTAGAACCTGAGAACACTAGCCTATGAAAGACACATACTTGTAATAATTTTTTGTATGTCTACATCTTTCAGATGAAGTTCAGACATATTACCAAATGAAATGAACCCTGAACTTCATCAGGACATGCCAGTTCAGAGCAAGAGCCCAGAGACACCTTGAAGTTCTGGACAGAAAAGCAGATTTGGCAAGAATCACCAATTTACCTTGTAAGAAAAATTCATCCATTTTGCAAGAATCCTTTGGTTTTTACCCAAAATATTGCCCTACTTCTTACCCCCCAGTTTCTGTTCTCTGGAGCCACCACGGTAGCTACCTGCCTGTCTAAACCAACCGCCCCAAACCCTTCAACTGACAAGAACAGATTTGGCTCAATTGCATGGCCTTGCAAAATACTTCTGTTAGTCTGAAAGCCTTTTTCAACTTGTTACCTCTACATATACTGGCCCATTCACAGCAACAGAGAAGAGTCCTTGGGAGGGAGCAAGGAACAAATCTGTTTTGTACAGCTCCATGTTGAAGGTCACATTGGTGATGTGCGGTTCAGGAGGCCAGAATATGCCTCTGTCATCCTCTGGCTGGTGCAGTGTGCAATTAAACTGAAATGAAAAAAAAAAAAACAAACAATAACATTCTGAGTTAGGAGTGGTAGCTGGATAAGGACAAATTTGGTGTGTGCAATACAGGTTCCCCCATGTTCCACCTACTTAGTGTAAATCTTCAACACGGTCGTAAGAAATAGTAGTGAGAGAAAATGCGTTAAAAGACAAATCAATTTCTATACAATTAATGTAATTTAGGTGGAATATGCCCATTACAATAGGTATTTCTTTATTGTCATGTGCAAACTGAGAGTAACATACCGCTATTTCAGGCCAGCTTGAGAAAGAAACGTCTCCCTCATCAGCATCCCCTGGAAAACCATTATCACCCGATTCCATGTCATCATCATCAAAGCTGCTGCCTTCAGCTGGTGATGACAGCTGAATGACAATCTGCTCAAAAGATATTACAAACAAATTAGATTAGATATAACTGAGCACTCTCATGGTTATTATTTTCTTCTCTCCAGAACAATGCAAAGGCCAAAAGAAGAGCACCAGCTAAGCAGACAGTGAAAGCATGCCTTAAACTGCTTTATGCTGAGCAGGTAGGACATGCAGCTTGTATTTAGAGAATGCTCCTTAGTTTTTTTCCCAGAATTCAGAGCCAGCAAAGACACCAGTCTGGGTGTTGGTGTCTGAATAAGCAGCCTAGCATTTCTGTTCTATTTCTGGTATTTCTATAACCAACACTGAAAAAAGAGATGGCTTTCTGAAGTGATTTTTTACAACTTGTTTTCCTGAATGCACTCAGGAAAAATCACTAGAAGTGTTAGGGTTATTACAGGATGTTCTCCTCTGTCACTTGCATTTTTTTTTCCAGAGATGTAAACCCCAAAACATTATCTCCCTTTTTCATCTTCCCCTTGTTTTTCCCTGAATTCCTGGGGGTTTGTTTTCCAGTGCTCTGCACTCTGCTTCATTATGCCTTGTGGGTCCTTCGCTAGTTCCCTCCCTTCCAGGACTTCAACTTGTTTTCTTGGACATAGAGCAACTGCTGAAAAGTGGCATGTACACACCCTTTGACACTCCACTGCAGGGTGTTTATTTTTTAGGAGAAATGCTCCCAAACTGTGAAAAAATACCATATGGGTTTTGGAGTTCAAGTGTGTAGCCAAAACTATTAAAAGACATGACAGAGAAAAGAGAGAGGGTAAATGACCATTTTAGTTTGGGCCATAATAGAATACAGGGACAATGACAGTATTTAGCTCCAGACACACGCTGCTCTGTAGTCTGCTGACGATTCTATCCACAGTGCTGGTTTGGGACTGTTTCTAAACTTAGGTGCTACCAACTCACCAGTATAGAACAGTTTTAACCAGGCAAGGTCACATCAGATTGCCTTAGCTGTGTCTGGGTTGGACCACAGGCTTTCCATCATTTGCCAAGGTTACTTCCATGTACTGGAAAGCTCAGCAAGAGAAATGGGTCATTACTTTCCAACCCAGATTAGATGCACTGCACTCAAGTTCATAAGCTGAGCCAGTCTGGAAGCAGTTGCCTACAACCTAACTGTGCTCCTTAGCATCATTACTTATATGCAAGTACCCAAGAGTCCCTTCATCATGTATATCAAGGGACAGAAAATATGTATTCAAATTCTAAAAGAGAAGCATGCATAATTAATGTATTTTCCTAATATTTTAAGAGCCTTTTTCACATACAATTTTAGAAGAAAAAATTTTTACTTAATTCAGCATACGAATTAATTGGTATTGCTTTGTACAATCACAAAATTCCCATTCCTCCTTACAGAATACAGTACTGCTTATGTATGAATGCATCGAAGCTGCACAGGGAAAGCTGGTGCAAATTCTCTGAGATTGGTACAGAAAGTCCCCAAAGGGCAACCATGCAGCTTTGTAAAAAGTATTTAACTCCAAATCCTCCTTTTTCCTTCGGGATGCTATCCGACCACAGGAGCACAGCCTTCATGCCTCCCTGAATACAGGGACTGTGGCTGCAATGAGGTTTGAGTTGGACAGGAAAAGTTCAGGATTCTTCAGACTTAAGCTAACTGCAACACCTTCCTTGTACTATGATGTGCAGTGCAGAAGGTGGATCCTCTCTGTAAAATACTCACAGAGTTAAAATAAACGATCTTGTTCAAGATATATGCTGTCCGAGTCCCACACTGGTTCAGCGCAGACTCCAAAATGAAATGGGTGCCATTCATCCTGCCTTTGCAAGAGTGATCCAGCAGCGAGAGCTCTGTCCGTGTGTAGCCACTGGCCTGAAACAAAGATGCTTTGTGAGTGACAGAAACACAATTGTGTTCAGCTCTGCTTAAAGAGCAGTTCAGAATACTGTTCATGACTGCTCAAAGGAGGAAGTGAAGTTCATTGTACTGGCATCCAGGGAAGGTCACTCTCAAAATGCTGTTACACATGACAGGCAGGGAATAAATGTAACATGGAACAAAGAAAACAACAGGTTCATTATTCATCTTCTGATTAATAATGCTAACTCTGGTCTGAAATGAGCTAAAAATGCTGTCTGCATCAGGCTCTTTTCTACAATACAAATGGACACAAGCAACCTGTCAGCTGGTTAGATAGTACAGACAGATCTATTCAGGTTTCACATTGCTATCAAAAGCAACTTCTTTGTGCTTTGGAAATAAAAAACAGACTGATCGTTGAGCACACTAATTTTTTGACAGAGTCAACACTGCAAAGCTTTAATAGGAAATCCCTCTAAAAACCATCAGGTTGTTGTGAAGAGGAAACACGGTTCTGAGTTATGGCAAAGAATATCTACAGTATAGTTTCCTCACCAAACTATTTTTGGGAGGTTGAGTGGTGATGGCTGTAGATCTTAGAATGTTTATTTTTTCAATCAAAATGCAAATAAAATGGTCTGTCCAAAAAAAGGCCTACCCAACTCTGAGAATAAGACAGCCCACCAACCTGCAGAGCATCTTTTTCTACAGCTACTGTCATGGCTTTGTCATCACACTTTATTGACAGGGCCACATCAGCACTGCCCTGAACCTCTTCTGGTTCTTTATGTTTTGAGAGGGAATGTCCAAAGTCATGATTTATTAACGTATCTACTGAGTGCCTGGACGGGAAGATTTCTTCTCCCACTGTGTCATGCCTTCCTCTGTTAATGTGAAATGGAAAAGTCAGGCCATCACTTAGTGCAGGATTCTTTGGAGCAGGCAGTGGATTAGCTCCCAGCAATTCTGTCAGCTCTGGAGGAAGGGAATGGTCTTCTTCGTCATTCATCTCTTCTGAAAAAAAACAAAACAAACAAACAGACAAGCCCCCCTCCCATAAGTTTATTAGATATTTTTCCTGAAAAGTATCCAGAAATAATAATTTTTGTATTAAAAAAAAAAATCCAGAAAGGAGGGTCCTGAAGGACATCCAAAGTAGTGTCTTTGTACTTTTCACGTAACTAGTCACAACTCCTCCAACTGAAGGTTTAGTTGTTCCTGAGGCATCTAATCTTGCTATATTTAGTCCCTGCTAAAAATCTCCCTCACTAAGAGCTGAAAATAAACGTTGAGGTGTATACTTATTATATGCAAAAGAACCACAGAGGTAAAAGAAACATCACATCATCAAATATACTATTTTGGTGCTGTTGAAATAGTCTAAGTGCAAATCATTGGGTGAAATTCTTCCATTACCCCACCCACCACAAATTCATTCACTCTACTGTTGTGAAACTACTTACATAGCCAAAGTGAAGCTAAATGAGAGTTAACTTTATAGTGAGTAAATGAGAAAACTATCTCCTGGCTTACACATGTGACTGCTCAGGACAGGAATCTCAACATCTGGCTCAGACAGATAATTATCTGTAACCCATCAGAGTGCAACTGATAAAATTAAAGTGAACATAAGGTTTATCAAAATGGTAAAACAATACTTTTAGTGGTTTAAACTCAGAATTAGTGAGAAAAACAGATGCAGTTCTGCTAGCTTCAATGGACCCATATATCTTTACATCAGCAATGACTTTGGCCAAATAACTTTTTTTTTTAATGCTTGTATTTATTATCATGTCTGTAAACAATTTAAATGTTTATTTAATTGTCTCAAGAAAACACTACGCTCATACTTTTGGGAAAAAAAACACCACCAAAAAAAAATCAGAGCTAGATTCATAAACTAACAAGACAGCCGGTTGCTGAAGTCCATTTCAGTGAACACTGAGCATGGTCAGATATAAAGTCTTGTGTTGGATAAACTATAAACACCTAATTCCACCAACATTTCAGGAAATAAAACAACTTGCCTAGACTTTTCTAATCAAAAAGACATCATTCACAGATATTACCAGCACTCTTGATGATGAGCAGTAAAAGCAGTGCAACACCCAAAACCAAAGCTTCAAAACTGAGAAAACATCTTTTAAGTCATTGTATTCCTGGAAATACAAGATGTATATTTTCTATATGCTAAAAATCCATCTTCAAGCTTACCTGTATCTTCAAGTTGCAGATGAAATCTGTTAGCAACAGGGGCTTTTGTGTAGGAAGTAACTGGACTATAGTTATGCTCATAAGCCCACTTGATCAAACTCTCATGTGATGAGGGAATATCAGGTATTACTGATTTACTCATAGTCATGGACCGTTCTGTTTCCTTTCCAAAACCAATACTATTTGATGTCTGCAAATAAAGACAAACTTGGTTGGTGATTTATGATTTAAGGATACTTAAAATGGAATAATGACACCAACTGAACCCTTTTTTTTATTCTGCTTTACTCTATTAAATAACAGCCAACTGAGGACACCTGGGAAATAAAGCAAACTCTGCCACCATAGGCACGTTATTGCTGCATACATGGAAAAAAGTCCCCCCCTTCCTCCCAGCCTCTGGCTGGAGTACAATAAATCAAGGTAGTTAAAAACTGTTAATCCTGAAATGAGACAAAGACATATTTGCAGTCATTTGTATAATGCGATACTTTCTCCAAAACTGAGTTGAAATTACTTCTGAGGTGTGGTGAACTCAAGGTGACAACTGATTTTTCAAATGTCCCCTTCGTTTCTTTGATGAGAGCATTACTTCAACTGCATAAGGGAAAACCTTTGTTCAAGTGAGCATTACTGAAAAAGGCAAAGCAGTGTGCTCATGAAGTAGAGCTGAGCTGATACCAGCTAATGCTTTAAAGTCAGCTGGCACCAAGGACAGGCTGTGTCTGAATAAGCACCCTAGAAAGGCTGTGTGCCTTCTGTAAATTTCTGACTACGTTAAACAGGATTGAATTAAATGCTTAATAGAGCAGTAAGTGAGAGCAGGCACATTTATGCTTGCCCAGACTACTTAAAAAACAACATACACTTTCTGCATACAAAAAATTTTAAGATTTAATTAACAATACAAGTTTTACACAAAAAAAATCGATATAGAAAACTCATAAATGCACTTGCATGTTTCATTTTTTTTTAATTATTAAATAATTACAAATAATGCCACAAAAAAGTTGGCACTGGAATACAGATGAGTCACACTGTCAGTTAGTTTCTATTTTCCGGTAAATGTTTTCCTAACTTTCAAATTTCCTTTTCCAAATGGGCAAGTCAAAGGAATAGAACAAGTATCTCTCACTGTTAGAGAGGCAGTTAGAAAATATTAACTGGTATTATACTCAAACTTGAATTTAAGTGCTTGGCATCTTTAACATGTATTCACACAAAGCTAAATACATATATATTTATTTTTACACTCACAACACTACTATTAGCACTATAACAATCACATCAGTGGCAACAGAACAAGCAGAACATAGATGCTGCAGGAAAGGCACCATGACCCAATTTTCAGTGATTTTGGAATGTGATTGAATTGCACTTTTTAATGCAGCTGATACCATGGAATGTTCCATAAACACTTTAATTTCCATGCTCAATTATCTTCTCCATCATATAGGTTGTATTTTTTTTTATTCCCATTGCTTTTCCTCGAATCTTAAATCTCTTTCACTCTAGAACATCAAAGGATTAACTGTTGAGATCTCCTTTAGATAGTGGTCGTATGGACATGTTGTGCAGGTCATAGACCTTGGCTGCACTTCTCCACCTGACATCAGAAACGACTTTGGAACAAAGAAGTGAATAAAGCATGTAGAGAGTCCTGATCATATGGCAGAGTTTACTTTCAGCTCCCTCCCTCATTTCTTGCTAGAGACGCAGCTCTGCAGCTTTTAAACATTTGCAGCTTCACAATAAAAATAATTTTAGGTACAGAGTGTCTGGTCTGATGATATTGTTACTAGTACCAGCAAAGGCCACTGAAGGTAAGAAACAAAAATGGAGCAACAGGTATCCTAATTTTAGTGCCTTATAATGCTTCGAATCAACTGATCTTTGATCTTCAACAGATGCAATTCTGGACATGACTGATCACGCATTTTCATATTACCACAGCTTTGACTGTTGGAATTATTGTGCTACTCCAACGTTGCTGCATCTGCCTCTCAGCTTTCCTTTACTTTTTTTGTCAGAAGGAGACAGCTGAACAAATATTATCCCAGAAGTTTACTGTCCTAGCTGGCACCCAAGCACTTCCAGAACTTGTTTATACCACTCCACTCCACCCTGAGCCTGCAAATGTTCAATCCTGCATCACCTTAGTGAAACAAAACCAAGAACGAGGGCTTGCAGGAATAGACCTCCTGAACTTGTCTGTCCTGCCAACACGTTCACACACAGCGTCTGAAACCAGGAAATCAGAGACCCCACTGACCTACTCAGAAGAGAGAGAGATCATTTCTGGAAGTGGTGGGCAGCTTCTCTCATGTAAAGAACAGTCCCTCCAAACTTTTGAAACCCTCACAGGCTTCTGTGCATTTCATTTCTCTCACTCTTCACCCCTCAACACACTTATATTCTTTCTGCAACTTCACTGTGCAATTCCCAGCTTTGCAAAGGGACACCAACACCAAAGGAAGCAGCGTGAACAGCAGCCTACAAGCACAGAACCACACAAGCACTGCACAGGGGCTGCTGTAAGGCCAGACTGCACGCTGGAGTTTAACACAGCCTGGGAGGAAAGCACTGCACATGCATTATGTGCTATTACTTTACCTAAACGGCTCCCATTTTGCTTGTGTTTGTATACCTCCCCTTCCAGAGTTTCAAGAAACACAGCAATCTGGGAGATGAGCTACAATGTCTTTTTCATTTTTTGTCCACGAACTTAGACCTCAATAACTCACAGTCCTGGGTTTGAGGGAGCTTAGCACTAACCTTTCCCTCTCAGTCTGCCAATCCCCTCAAGACAATTCTGATTCGTACTGAGGGCAAGAAGTTAGGAAAATTGAAGTGCATGGAACTGCTTCAACTAATAAAAAGAACATTGTGAAACATTACCTAATTGCTTAGTAATGTTTTATGCATTGTCTAAATTTGGGCTTGGAAAGGCCTTCAGCTTAACAGAGATATGAACAGATCCTAAATGTTGGATATGGAGACTTTTTAATGACATGGGGGGGTCCCCTCCCACACCCCCTCTAAATAAAGGAGAACACATTCAGAAAATGAAGCATCTATATACATAAAGCAGTAAAGCAGTTACTCACAAATCCCAACATAAATACAAAGTCTTTTATATACTGACATTTCATATATATTTTATGTATTATTTTTTCTTTTTGTTAATCTAAATAAAGTTTTACCTTCTGCCACTCATTAGAGAAGGAATTTTTAATTACTTTTTATAATTATACTATTTATAATTTTTATATGTATACACCTATAATTATTAATAATAAAGAATTAAAAAATAATAGCAGTTTTCCTTTTCTGTATTCAAGTACAGCATTTTAGAAATTTTAAAACTCTGTAGAAATCCTCTCCCTGAAAATTGATCATCCATAAAGTGATAGCTTCATGGACATGAAATGTGGTACTTGAGCTATTTCCATGCAGGGAATGAACTAAGGCACAATTATCACATGAAAGCAGACCCACATGGGCCTAAATATGCAGTGGTGAATTTTATGTAATAATCCAGAATGAAACTTTCAAGTCAAGCATTGTTTTTTTGCCCTTCTGCTTGCAAGAGTGGTAATCCTCAGCAACTAACCTTGACCTTTCTCTTTAAGGACTGATTATTTAGAAACCTATAGAATAACCAGAACACCCTTTCCTGTCTGTAAGAAAAATATCTAGGGATGAAGAGGGACTTTCATCATCCCTAGATAATTTTTCCATTCAATTTTCTGAGCAACACCAAAATTTGTTTCCTTTTATTTCCTTCACTCTCAAAATATAGCATGAAATCCTGCCTACCAATCTGTCTTCTTAGAAGATTTAGATCAAACAGCCTTCGGACCCTGTCAAAACTGCCCTTACACACTTCAAAAGCAGGAAGCTACTCAGCAAGGTAAAATTCCCACAAACAGAGAGCTGGAGTTTGAAAAAGTAACTGAATTACTGCAAAACTGCTGATCGGGAGGCCACTGGGTGGTCCTGAGCAAACATTCAGCTCAACTGTACCACGTGCTCTTAACTGATCGCTTAAGACAGAAATAGGCCACATTTATTGACTGCATGATCAGTCCAATTATATTTATTTATTTCAGACTAAGGGAAAACACATTTTCTTAGTAAAAATGGTGCTGAGCCACAAAGCCTGTATCAAAAAAATCAATGTGAACCAGCATCTCCAGTAATTTTAGAAGTTTAGCTTTAGAGATCCTGGTTTTAACTTTTTAAAAGCTTATTATTTGTGGATTAAACAGAGATAAGGTCAATTTGACCAAATATTTACTGTGGACAGAAGTACTGGCAGGGAAGAGGGATAAAGACTAATATAACCACAAGCAGGAGAAGTAATAATGTTTCCACTTCTAAGGGTTGTGGGTGTGTGCCACATATTCAGTATTATCCATTCTGCACTCAAAGGCATTGTTTCAACTTCTGAGATGAACCTGTAGATCCACTCACTAAAGTAACAGTAAAAAGGGACACGAACATCCAACTTTGTGTTTTGGGTACTTCAACAGAAGTTGAAAAGACACAGACCCTAAATCCTTGCACTAACCACCTGGCTTCTGTGATGTGCTGGTCTAATAGCCCATATACTAAAAACTAACAGGACAAAATAGTTCATGTATTTACTCCCTGACATGCAGTAACAATTAAAAAAAAAAGGCTATTAAGAGAAGACATTCAGCAATCAATACAATCTAGCATTATAACACATTTAAATGGATTCTATACCGTTGCAGTATTATATCTCTCAAAAAATAAAGGTGCCTTAACTTACAATCACTTCCAGCTTTCCCTGGACATCATGAGACTTGATAACCCAATTGACAGACTTTCTACACTTGAGGATAAGTACGACATCTCTGACAAGTCTGGCGCCTGGCTGAGATGGTTTAATGTCAACGATTATATCCACCTGGAGAGCACTGTATGTGGAAAATAGAAAGTTAGAACAGAATGCCAGAAATTTTCAGCTATCAACCTTCTTCCAATCCATCATGTTTCCACTGTCTGGCCAGCTGATTAAAATGCTGGATATTATCCCAGGCAACATAACATGTGCAAAACAGATTGTTATTCCATATACGCTTAAGTGATTTTGCATAACAAGAGAAACAAGTACTTTTTAGACAAATAATATTGTTGTCTCATATTTACAAAGAGTGTGCTATTCATTTCAGCTATTATTTAGAGCAGGTAAGTTATATGACTAGCAGGTTGCTTTATAAAATAAACATTGTTTTCTTATTTTCCTCTGACAGAGTGTAAATATAGTGGTTTCAGTTTCCTCTGGTTACAACTGTATTAAAATAATACCTTTAAGAAGGCAAAAAGACAAATTAAGCAGGTTAACACAAACACACACATAAAAACCCCAAACTAAACCACAAATACTATATTGGGGGATGTCTCTGCTTAGGCAGTTAAACTGTGGAAATTACTTTGCTTAGGATCTTGCGTGTGTTGAGGAATTAAGCAGTGTATTCAGTTTCCAATACTTCTGGATATCTACTTACTCGAAACAGAAAAAAAATCCAGATGTCCAGCCCACTGCTTGCTGGAAAATAGATGAACACTATACAGATTTTCAAGATCTCAGTAAAATAAGCAAATGGGCAGAGCAAATGTGTTTGTACCCATCAATAACACCTTGTCATGCAAAATATCAATTCAACAGAAAAACGTATACTTCCAGACCATCTTATGGGGCCATACATCACAAGAACGTGCTCATCCCCAAGTAACAGGTTTCAACTAAAACTCTGCACTAAAACTTAGTGTTTTTTGGGGCATTTGTCTCATCTCCTGAAGTTCTACACACCCCCAGATCAGCTTCTGTACGTTTCTTTGAGGATTTAAACTTTGTAAAGATAACTATGGATAACACATAAAACTAAGAACAAAGCAACTTATTACTTCTTTTATTTTTAATAACAAAACATTTAAACATTTCCAGTGTTATCTGAAAATCAAACTCCTATTGTACTATCAGCCAATGCCAAAAGCCCAGTGGGCTTGGAACCCGGGCTGTCATCGCATGACACTACACAGGACGTAGAATGATGCTGATGCTAAAGATCAGTTCTGTTCAGGATGGGGCTGCAACTCACACCACAGAAGCAAATCACTGGGGGTTACCTACTCCCTTTCCACTACATCTCAGCACTTTTTAATTCTCCCCAGTTTGCTAGGCAAGAATATTGTCAGGCTCTGGATTCAACATCTTGTAATGAGATAATTATCCTTTTTTACAAAGATCTCTCCTCCCATCTCCATCTGCCTGTGTGATTTTCTCATTAGGGATAGGACATGCTCACGTGTAACTGCATGAGGAGCACGACTGGCCAGTGCTGGGTATCTGGTGTCAGCAGTAAGCAGACAGGATTTTAATGCTATCTCATCTTTGATGAAATTGTAATCATCTACATTTCACAGCAGATTTCTGTTCTACTAACCATACTCAGCACTTAGAATGAGCTTTTCCAAGTATGACTATCTGAAGCAAACCCCATTAATTCTCCCACTAAGATCTACGAAAGACTAGCAAAGGATGAATGTTTTAAATGTCCTACCTTCCAAAGGTACCTTTGACAATTCAAATAATCCTCATAATGTGTACAGAGTTGTTTTCCCTAACCACTAGTTATAAACTTTTTTGGTCAGTGATTCACTGTTAACCTTTAACATTTCTTGCAGTTATCAAACTATCCCTTAAATCCAACTGGAATCTTGACAGAGAATACTGTCCTGAATCTTCAGACCAACTGTGGAACAATTACCATAGACCACAGATCATCTGCAACCTCTGGACCACTGTATGGAAGCCACTGCCCTAGGCTTTCCTGCCAGTCATTCCAAACAGTGACACATCAAGATTACTTTCAACCTCTCTCTCACCTCCTCATACAGTAGTCTAATCTTAAACCCTCTCTGTCAGATGCTGCCCTCACTGAAGTTCCCTTATTCATCTTAGTCTTGGGAAAATTTGATTGATTGAGCAAGAAGAGGGGTAGGATACAGTCCATAAAAACTGTGCTTTCCAGTCTTGTCCAGAAAGATCCTGAGATTATGAAGGAGAATCCAAAATCTTTACCTACTGGAGAACTAATTTCTATTTAAGGCAAAGTACTGAAGTTGAAGCTTTTCTTCTAAGTATGAAATGGCTACTTTCAGTTGATTTTTAAATAGACAGGTGAAACCTTTAGTTATGATTTCAAACATTTTTAGTCTATTTAGATGATACTTTACCTGTTAGGATTGGAATTTGGAGTGCTTAGTTCAATGATATGAACTTCTCTTTCTTGGACTAAGTTAGACATAAGGCACCCCTCTGCTGGCTTTGGTTGAAGGTATCCCGCAAGGTAATTTAAAGAGAGAAAATTCTTTTTAATGTTGCACGAGGGAGGAAAAACTTGATCTGAAGAGGGAAAAAAAAGAAAGCATGTGTACCGTTAAACATACGTATCAGTTTAGACATATAAATATATATGTATATGCATCTACTTCAGTGTGGTACTATGCTGCTGAAAGGTACATCTATTATCCACTGTAAGCACAACAAATCAACATCATATTGAAAGGAAGATCATTGTTGTAGTGACATCACATTTCTGAATCAAAATATACACTTCTAAACTGAACAGCTTCTATTTATGGATTTAAACATTTAATGAAAGAAAATCCCTACAAAGAGAAATCTGAAAACAATATTGAAAGAAAATATGTGAGCATTTTTCAAAGTGAATAAAATACATTTAATTTGTTCCTTGTGCCTTTAAAAAACATTTCTTTCTTTTGCAATTTACTCAGAAACCTTTTGTGATCAATTCCTTCTCCCCGTGGAAAATGTTTTATTCTTGTTATTAGAAAGTCACTATATTTAAAATACCACAGAAAGTACTTTCCATTTCCTTACTCGATCTATTTCCCTATACATTGTGTAGTCAGATGCAGTGCTCTCTAGAAATACTGCAGTTCTCTTGTGTGAGGAAAACTGAATACATCAAGAAAAGGATGAAAGCAGTTGTTGATGTTAAGGAAGTCTGATCATAATATCCGTACCTGAAATGATGAAATTCTAGTATAGATATCCAATCTCTCCATTGGTTTTAACTGCCTAATTGATCTCGAGCATTAACTATTGCACAATGCAAACTACAAAAAATAGCCGCTTGGTATGAAGTTTTCATGCACAGCCCACATTGCTATACCATAAGAAATAGTATTTCCACTGAAAATCAGGAATACTTTGCATTTCTGAAACAGCTTCACATATGAATTGTTGTAATACACAGAAGGACTAAGTATCATGTTCAAAGACAAGGTTCTGTATATAACTGTATACAATTCTGAATATAATTCCAAATGGCTGGCTCTTGGACCACTGCTTTATAAGTAAGACTTTTCCTATTAAGGTCAGTAGCAAGATTAAAAAAAAAAAATATCAAAAGCACGCACTGTGCACACAAAACTGTGGACAAATTCTTAAAAACTTAGCTGAGACCATGTGCTCCCTGACTGAGCACTGAAATGTCACCTCTGAAGCCCATTTGTTTGTGCTACACAACTTTGCAGAGAAACCAGAGACTCCTACGACCCTGGCCTCTGCAAAAACAATTAGGGGAGTTTCTTCCCCGATCTTACACAAAGTAGCCTTTGAAATTAACCACAGTCTTCCCTACAGAATCTAGGAAAGCTGTATAAGGCTGTAACTATTCGTACTGCCCAAGCAAAGCTCTCCTCTAACATCTGGTATGTGCCCTGCCAGATTAGCCTTGAACGCAGCTGCAGTTCTGCCAGCTCCTCCCACAACAGCACAGAATGGAAAATGATCCCAAATGGCTTATGCTGAGCTTGAATTTTTATATATATATATATATTCACATACACACATAGAGATACTAGGTATTTGCTTCTTAGCCGCTGTACAACACAATTCAGGCCACAAAATAACAGCCTCTGAGCACGTTGTGGATAGTTACCACACATGCTATCATTTCCCATTGCAAAGAAATCGGTTCTTGCTCCTGGCACTCCCATTAAGTGTCTCTGGAGCTCTCCAGAACTGCTGCTCTTAATGCCAGAAGCACAGAGGCTCCCCAGCCTGGGCCTCCACTCGATAGCACGCTTTTCCTCCACAGCAGATTTTAACTCTATCACTGGCTACTTGACACACGCACCAAAATATATTTACTCTCATCCATACCAGTTTACCAAAATCTGGGCTGGAACTGAAAAGGGGATCCATTTCATCTTTCTTTGCTCACTAGACTTCTTTTTAATTTCAGGGCTGTCTACTTACTTTGAAAAGGGACTGCAGGTGTCTACAATCAATTAAAAACATTACCAAACCAGGCAACAAATAGTCAGCTTAAGGACTCTGTGCCTCTCTAATCTCCACGGGCTCCCAGTATGGAATCAGACATGAGGTTTGCCGGCAACACCCTCAGCAGAGGGTCTTTGGCCAGCAGGCCCAGGTGCTGAGGGGCCCCTCTGGCCAGAAGGCACACGGTGGAGCTGTGTGTGCAAGTGCCCAGCAGCCACCTTCTCCTTCGGCACGTGCCAGACTGCCTGGATGGATCCACACTGGGATCTGGAGTTTCTGTGAGCAGCACCTCCATTTTACAGATGAGGACAGACACCATCTGCTCTATTTTGCACAAATTAGGTGTCATCCACAGGTTCTCGACTAGAAGCTTAATATCCAAACTTAACATCATAATGAGGTCAAGTGTCACCCTCCAAGACAGGCACCCTGGGCAGAAGCAGTTGGATTCAGCAATAAAAATCCCGATACAAGCAGAGCTTGCCTTTCGAAGTCTGAGCTGGGGATAAGCAAGGCATTTGGAGTTTTCCCTGGGCACTCTGATGGCACGGCTTATTCAAGTGTATTTTGCAATCTGCCCACCCTCAGCACAGAGATCAAAACCTTGACTGACATTTAATGGCAGGGTAGACATGGGATGAGGAGAAGGGACTACAGGGGTCTCTGGAGGGAGGATGGAAACTCTCGTCAGTCCTCATCCCACAGCAGGACATACAGCTAAAGCCAGACACAATGCAATCCCCTACAAGCATTAAACCACGCTAGCATGGCATGCAGGATACGTGCATTGGTGTGTACAGGCTATAAATTCAGATTCATGACTGAAGCTTCATCTTCTGCCAGGACAGAAGCACAGTGTTACCATCTGTAAATGGACTGTATATTTTCCAGTTTAGTTATTGTTATGGCTGACTAACTTTTTTCTTATTTAGCTAAGAAATGTGTTGATATTAGCCTCCCTCCAGGCTAGCATTTGCCTTGGATTTACACTGGTAATACTGGGTGAGTCAGGTAACATTTAGCTGATAAACCTTCCTGACTCATTCCATTGTATCTTATTGTGGTATGAGGATTCAAACTGACTTCTGCTGAGAAACATGTACCAAGACCACTTTCACCATGACCAGTCCTCCTTCCTAGAATCTGACAGTGATTACCACAGCAGTCACTTTGTCATTTCCTTCACTACAAAAATCAAGGCAATAACAAGAACCTCACTTCTTGTGCCCCTTTCCTCCACACCCTCATTCTGGCCCCTCGAATTTCTTGCTGTGCTCACCATCCCTGCAGTATTTATCGGCCACTCTTTAGAATCAACAGGATTCAGATGCACTTGGCCCTGACCCAGTTTACTAGTGCTCTCAGCTGCCTTTCATTTGCAGTTTCAAAAGTGACTTCAGAGACCCATGGCATCAGAAGCAGCTTTATTCCATGAAAAAAATCATCCTTCTTCAGATCTTTTAGTCCTCTGGCTTGCATTTTCTGCTTGCTGAGTTCAGCTACAGCCTCCACTTCTAAAGTGTTTCATCTTCCAGTTTCAGATTTGTCTAACTAGAGTGAATCCGAAATGTAGACTATTATATGAATACTGCAATTAAATTCTGTATCAGTCACATAGCAAGGAACTACTTCATATGACCACCTATATATTATGAGTAATACTAGCAGTGATGCACAGACTGGCAGCCTAAGGAACCTTACTAAATTGCTTGAGGAGTGTAAATTTTATATGAAAAGCCCAAAATGTACATCAGTGTATGCTGTGGTTTGTGAAATCCAGTGATTCTGTTGTTCAGTCTGCAGAGAAGCAGAGCAGGACCATTTCCCACGTGGTTTCCTTAGAACTCCTTGCATGACTGCTGCAGTTCAAGAACTGACCCTCTCCCCACCCCTGAACACATGCATAACCCCCACACATACATGCACATTCATTCTTCTGCCAAGAATTTAAATCAACAGCCAATACGGTTACAGCTGAGCGAGTTTGCAGGAACCTTCGCAGAAACTGTCTATTTTGGTTGCCTGCCAAGTTCCATTTTGTGTACTTACTCCTAATTAAAATGTATTTTAACACATTCTAAAGATGATACAAACTCTCCTCTTTAGCTGCCTGGTTTGACTGGAGACATGCAAATCAACACACACAGTTTTATCTGGGTTTTTTTCGACATATCTAATTAAATTTTCATCTCTGCAATGCAGAGACCACCACTCCCATGTATACGTTCCAAGAGCACTTTAATAAGCTAATAAATATATTTCTGAATGATTTTCTGGCATTAAAATCCCAGAGTGGTGCCAAGAAGGAAAAAAAAAATAAATCAGTCCCACAGGGGAATCCTCTACAAATTTGGCAGGATTTGGAAAACACCAACACAGGCATGTTCTGATTTGGGGGGCAAGCCTCATACATCAGGAAATCAAATGATCAAATACAGGTGGAGAGAAAAGAATGTTTTCTCCACAGAGGGGTTTTGCCTGTTTTGGTTTTTTTTCTTAGCCTACTAGTTCAGCTATGCAGCACTTTCTGTAGAAATATTGCTGCAGAGGCTCATATTGTTATATTTTCCAACACTGTTCAGTTAGAGAGCTACAGCCCGAACCCTACCCTAATATGGGCCTGTAAAGTCCCAGAGGAGCTGGACTCCTCTCCCACCTGCATTAGGCCAGCTGACAAATCTGGCACGTGGCTCACAGGGACAGGAAATCTTTCTCCTTGGGATGAAAATACATAAGGATAGACTGAGGCAACTTATTTTGGTGAGGAAAGCAATAATTCTTTGCCCCAAAGCAGCCTGGATCCTTATACAAGCAAATACTGAAAAAAAAATATAACTCAGGTTTTTTTAGAAATTACCCCCTACGTCAAGGTCTCCAGTTCTTCAGATGAATGCACCCAATCACTGTGAGGAGCTGATTCCATTTAAAAGGCAAAGCTTTGACTCTTTTAAGATTCTGAGCAATCGCATCCATGTTTATAGGCATAAAATTATGGCACCAGAATCCACTAAAAGCTGCCTAAATCCAAGGTCTTGTCTTTAGACTTGGTCTTATTTCTCTGCCTTCCCTTTTCATACTACATCTCTTGGAAGATGAGAGGCATGTTTAAAGAGCAAAACACACAAAAAAGTGAAATAACACTACAGCAAGACAATATCCAGAAATATCTATCAATTTTGTTGGTTTAGTTTTGGTTTACCTTCTCCTACTTTAATATAGATGTTTCTTGATATTTTAAGTTCAGTGAAAGATGTTACTGCTCCATATTCCTTCTGGGCCCATTGTAGCAGATGTTCATTCTTCTCAGGAAAAAACTTCTCTTCTGTTTCTGCTGACAAGGAGAAATTTCCCTTCTCAAACTGAACAACGGAACCCAAAGACACCTGATGGGAATAAAAACATATTTTTAATGTAGTACATTTATCTACCCAGACAGGTAGCAAGTTGAAGCAATGTAATCTGTCACTCCCAAACTGGAAGGTGATTATGGCTTATTTTCACCAATGCCTAAATGTCACACGTTTTAACATCTGCAAAATGATTCCTTTTTCTGAGCTGTTTTTGAAAAATGAGGTGCCCATGATCGTGGGTGGGGTGCACACGGCAAACTAACAGAGGGCTCGGAGCCACCCTCTGAAATGGCACTGCTGCAAAAGTGGAACACAGGGCTGTGAGGGGAGAGAAACTGTGGGGGCAAAGAGAGGGCTGGAAAATAATAGGAAAACTAAGCAGGAGAGAATAGGATGATCAGAGGAAATGAAGGCAGATAAGTATATGAAGCTCAGTAAAACTGGGAACGACTAAATTAACTCCCAAATCAGGCAGAACATGAGTCCAAGATGAGTGCTACATAAAGGCCAGCCCATAAACAGAAGGTAAGGAAAGAGAAAGGCTAAGAGAAAGGGAAAATATTTACTGTTGTTTTATTTACAGGAAGTGAGGAAATATTTTAGTCTAATACATAATGCAGATGAGTTATACAACTTCAGAAAAATTCTTAAAAATCAGTTACATTAACTGAGGTCTTGACTAAATGTCATTTAAAGCTAGAATGTCACTTAAAACAGTCAAAATGGAAAAACCCAGTAAGTAGAAGTGCAACAGGTTCTACAGGAAAGCCAAAGATTTTCAAACACCACTGAAGTGGCAATAGCATCATTCAAGAACAGAATGTGGCAGAGGGTCAGACTCTCTTTCAGATTGAGACCTGCTTCAACTTGTGATGGTCTTGAAAGATAAACAAGTTATTTCAGACTTATTACAATGCTACATTTTCCCAACAGCAACCTTTTGACTCACCTGTCTCAACACTTCCAAGACATTTGTCAGCTCTCAAAAGGTCCCTACAGCAAGTGGTGAAAGAGCAGCATTCCTTCATCTGCCCAACCTCAGGAGCCATCACCCATCCACACACTTCGCTGTCTCTTCCTTCAAGGTGCTCACAGCCTGGGGGCCTACACACCCTAAATCCAGACTGGTCCTATTGTTCCCAGCACTATTTCAGGGTGATACATACCAATTTTTTTAGCACCTACAAAAATATTTGTCAAAGTAGACATATGAATTAAATCCTTTGGCAAATGGAAAGAATTTCTAAGTTCTTCCCTGTGCATCCAGCTAGCATTTATTATGCACATACCACATATTCTCCTCTAAGAGAAAGCCCAGGTAAATCCGAGTTTAATTTGACCAGACCTATCACAAAAAACAGCTTAGGCAACCTTTTGCCACAATAGCTTTCAAAGTTTGAACTAACATCTGTTTTGATTCGGAATAATCTTTCTTATTTGTTGTTTTTCATATGACTATCACAAAACACTTCCTTCAAATGAAAAAAAGTCTTTACTCAGTGTAACACAGACTACACCACATTCTCTCAATACTCTCATACTTCTTAAATAAGAAAGCAAATTCTGCTATTAGAGTAAACCCACTGCCCCCAAATCTACAACAGTAGGAAAGGAGAGCAACACAGTTAATGTATTTAGTAAACAGCATTCACTGTACTTTCACCACTTAGAAGCTGCTGGATTGATTTTGTGGGGTATCAGTGCTCCTAACACACTGAATTCTGTGTAAATTAAAAGCGTACAGTCTCAGAGGATGACACTGACACACTATAAGCCAGGTCATGTCAGATCACATACAGAGCACCCCTTAGCAATGCTGTCTTTTATATCAGAGACGTGGGATATTTTTGTAGAGCTTTAGCCTAACTAGAAAAATCTCCCATGCATGAAAACTGCAGGATTCAAGGACTTAACCGGTGATTATTTGGAGGAATATTGAATAGATGTTGGCATTCCATCCGCAGAAACAAGCCTCCTTAACTACCTCAAAAATACTACAGTTTATCCAATATAGTTTAGTAGCTAGTTTACTTTACACAGTGTTTCTGGTACTTTTTATGGCCAGTGTAAGGGTAAAGCAGCGTCAGTGTATCTTTTAAGACATTTGAGGACAGCATAAGAGAAAATATTATTCCTTCTAAATAATGGCCAAAGAAATGCATTACCTTGCAACAATGCATTTTCACTGTATTTTTCATTTGAGATAGTTAAACATTTGCTAACAAACCAGCTTTCCTCCTTAGAAAGCACTTGGGTTTGCATTTATAACTAATTAAAACTTGAAAACCTTTTTCATTATTCTGCAGCATGACAAATGTCTTCCTGAGGGACAGATCTACCAAAGTTACCAAGTCCTATGAGGGAAGAACTGACAGACAGAAAGCAGAGCAACTAAGAAGTCTGGCATAAGCATCCTCACTAAGCGATCACATAGTAAACATCTTTAAATAAACATGAAGCTTATCATAATTTATTTTTTTAATCACATGCTAACGTCTGTTTGAAATGCTGGTTCCGCTAACCAGGTTTTACAAAGGACTGCAGAGTTCTGCTGTGCCTGCCAATGTTGGGATTTCTACTACATGGACCTAAGGCAAGGTTAAGTGAGCCAAACACGTTATTTTTTTTGGAAAGAATTCAACAGACTCTTCCAAAAAAGGCAAGCATCACTGTTTCAACACCTGCCTTGAACATTAACTACTTACTCTTCAGAACAAATTAAAAGCAACTCAAGCATGCTTAGCATAACCCAGAGCATTAAAACCAAATAATGTTTTAAATATTTAGGAATATATTAATTTTTATCTAAGCACTGATTATACAGCTTGACTTGGTGATTAAGAAACTGCTGCCACAGACACTTTTATCTCCTCCCTTTATCTCCTGCAGCGGTTACTTTCTGAGATTGCTGAGTGGAAAAAGTGCCCCAGCTCTATTTCTTCCAGTTGTGAGGACATGAAAAGTGACTGCACCAGAAACATCTTCTACTGCTGAGTTCACCACATGCCCTGTGACATTTCTGAGGCTAAATGAGGAAACTTCCAAAAGTTTGGACATGGAAAATCCATTTGCAAGACCAAAAGATACCGGCCATGGCCACTAACCACAGCAAGGACCGTGGTTCAAAGAGCTCTTCTGCAGTCAGAGGAAATGAGGATCAAGTACAGTATTTTGCAAACTTGCTACCAAAACCTGAGTATTCCATCAAAGAACAAAATGTGTTTAGGAACATATTTTGGTTACATACGTTACTGCCCTGCTGACAACTGGGGAAAATAGGAACCGAAATTTTCTTTGCACCATACCAAGGCAAGGGAACACATACCCCTAATGCTGGGGGAGGTGTGGGGGAAATAAAGCCTTTATACGTCCCCTAAGAAAACTTTCCAGTTACTATTCATCAGAGGGAACAACACTTAAAACCAAACCTGAGCCATCTCAAATATATACACTGGTGAGTGTGAATATTGCACACACAAAAATAGCATATTCTGTTTCTTATTTTACCTATTTCCTTCTTTCCTTCTAAATGTTTATTGCCTTTTTTCATTTGAATCGGATCCAGATGGGATATTTACTTTGTTTGTTTTACGACATTTTAAGTATTTAATGTAGTTGTAATTCAGAACTCCCAAGTAGGAAGCAAGTCCATAATTTAAGCCTTGAGAGAGAGAGAGAGGAAGGCAGCTCTGGGAGATGACTCAGAATACGAAGTGTCCGCAGCCACACATCATGAACCAATCCCTCCCTCACAGCAACAGCTACACCACTGCTCACCATGGGCCCACCAGGACAACTGAGCAACTAATCCACCCCTAGAGCCAAGATACAGGCAAATATAGTAGCAGAAAAAAGCTGCATCCTTCCTATTTTTATCTGAGATATACAGTATCAGACCTATGGTGGAACACATAGGAGAAGTGTAAATCTGCTCAGAATAAAATTAAGAAACTTGAACCAACTTTCAGAGAAGCCCACATGGGGATCAGACTCAGCTGGTCTTTTCTGATACTGTACTTTGATGTGCTTTGCTCTCCTTACAGAGGAAAACTAAAGCCATGGATGAAATACCAGGTATTCCAAAAGTCAAAAATGTATCTTCTGTTGGTCATAAATCCTCATACAACATCCTATAATCATCAAGAGAAAAATTCTCTCTGGTAAGGGACTAAGAAACATGCTGCTTTTGAAATGCCATGTAACGTTTGTGAATCATCTATCAGCTTTGCACAGTCCTTACCAGCCACAGAAGTGTGATGCTTTCAGGCAGTAGTAAAATTTTTTGTGTTCTTAAGGCCAGATACAGTAATTACAAAATTGCACTTCCAGATCTCACGTTTTTGAAAACAAACATATAAAAGCAGCATTACCTCAACTGCACTTGAGATTTTAGTTCTACTCCCTAGGAGATGCTCAGTTTGCCAGGTACCTAAGATCCTTTTATAATTAAGGCTGCTCAATGTTTTCCCAGAATAAGAGCAGAACCATGTGAGATCAGACTCTTGCACATCTTTATGCACCTAGAAATAAGAGCCTGGGATTTTCTATCAAAGCTGAAATTGTGTCAATTCAAGTGTAACTTTGAAAATCTCCAAGGAACAGTTACTAGAATGATAAAGAAACATACAAACAAAAAAATCCATGTAAAGGGGAAATCTGTTCCCAAAGTTTAGAGCTCAGCAGGGGATTATTAACTGCACACAGGTAATTGTCCACTCATCTCACATTAATCTAACAACATATTAATAGATTCAACATAACACTCATTTGACATGAGCAAAACAAGGTAGCAGAAGGGATTCTGTTTCAAGTAAGATCCCATTTAGTGGAAGAAGTGAAAGGAGAATTAAAGCCTATCTATGCAACTGCAGCTATAGTTTCCACTGGAATCAATGAGTCAGTAACACAACCTGTTGTGATTTACTATCTCCATGTCACTAACACCAGCAGCCTGCCAAAATCCACTGCCTGCTTCTGTAAACTTCCACTGGCTAAACCCCGTTTACTGAAGCAAGTAAAGAAGGGAAGGAACC